TGAATGTTTGTAATTTATTAGTAATTGCCTTAGTTGTTCTCCGCCAGACACAAAAGTATTGATTTGACATTAGAAATAACAATTTTAAGTTGGGAATTTCTTTTAATTTCTTTTGACCTTCACACATTTCCTAGTGCTATAAAAGCTCTTTTTGCCTTTTGTAATCTTTTTTAAATATCTCTAACCCCCATCCTTATCTACACCACCTCCTAAATAGGTGAACGACTCCACGTCTTGGAGTGGGGTGCTACCAAGAGAAACCACATTAATATGTGCCTGATTTTTTCTCATTATCTTTGTCCTTCCTTTATGGATTTTCAGACCTATCTGCAGTTATCTCTCATCAAGTATTTTTGATTTATCTTGCATCTGATTCCGTGAATGGGTTAGAAGAGAAATATATTCAGGAAAGTCCAGATCATAAAACTGCTTTGTAGGGGTCCACCGGACTCCACCCCTGGTGTTAGCAGCTACTGGCCTAACAGTCCAGTCTATAGTCAGCAAAAATAGGACATCCCTGTCGCACACCTATTTTTATTTCAAATGTATCTGTTAGCTTTTCCCCCATGAAGAACTCGCCACCTCATGTCTCCATATGTTGCCCCCACCAAGCCTATAATTTTCTGTTGGATTCCAAAGGGCCCTATCAATCCCTAGAGAAATTCCGTATCAGGGTTGTTAAATGCTTTTTTATAGTCTATAAATCCAGTGTAAAGTGGCGAGCTCAGCTCAATGCTTTGCTCTATTATTATACGCAATGTGGCTATCTGGTCAGCACAGGATCCGTCTGGTGGAAACCTGCCCGCCCATCTCCTAGCCTTTTATAAATAGCATCTTTTAATTTTTCCAAAAAAATCCTACTCAGTACCTCTCCAGGGTCGGCTCTGTGGCTAAGTCGATGCGAACGCTTCGCTTCGTAATGCCGGGATGCCAGGTTCGATCCCAGCTGCGGGCAATGCGCCTTGCGTTGGTTTCGACAGTAGTATAAAAAAAGCCGACCGTCCAGAAAGAAATGGCAAACTACTGGATGTAAATTGCCTAGAGAAACCACGCAACAGCCAGGGGCTGTTAGGGTTGGTTCTGCAACGTCCTGTAAAGGATACGCAACTAACTTAACCTTTCCAGGAACTGACAGCAACACAATTCATCCATAGTTTTCACACTCTCGCAGATTGCCCCTCTTGGGCAGTTTAACAAGACATCCCTCTCTCAAGTCCGCTGGCACCTCCTCGGTCTCCCAGACTTTACTAAAAAATGTATGTAGCAGTTCCGTTGATGTGTTTACGTTGGCCATAATAGCTTTTGCTGGGATACCATCTGGACCTTTGAGAAGATGGATAGCTTTTCTAATTTCCTTCTTTAGAAGGTATCCCACAGTTGACACCCTGCTCCATTTCCAAAAGCTGGATATCTGGAGGAACCTCTGGGCCCCCGTCCATTTAGAAGTATTTTAAAATATTCAGCGCATTTATCCTTTCGATCGTTAGTGTTAGTAAGTACCTTCCCTTGACTATCCTCGATTTATCCAGTTGGCTGACTATATTTACTAACTAATTTTCTCGTGCTACTGCAAAGGTTTCTGAGGTTTCCTTTTGCTGTTGCTGTCTCCGCTTCTTGTGCTAAATCATTTAAATATTTCACTTTATCTGCCCTTATACGCCTCGAAGCTTCCTTATTGGTTTCTGGGTATTTATCCTGAGCTTTTTACTTTTCCTTTTTTCAGTCAATTTAATGGTTTCTGGTGTTTTCCACGCTTTTGTGTTTTCGTTCTTTCTTGCCAAGAACTTCTACACATTCATTCCATATTTCTTTGATCTGATCCCAGCAGACTTCTGTGCTGACATCTTCAGCTAACTGCTGCAACACCTGGTACTTATTAGAGTCTGTTACTGAAAATTGTTCCTTAACTTCTGCATCCCAGGTATAACCTACATGATACTTGTTTCTATGATTATAAGATGTTATGTATCTTTAAGGTTTCAACTTGACTTTACTTACCACCTGAAAATGGTCAGTAATTACATCATCACCCCTGAAAGCCCTAACATCAGAACGGGATAATCTAAACTTTTTGTTAATACATAGGTGATCAAATTGATTGGTTGTCTTATGATTTGGTGATTCCCATGTTGCCTTATGTTTTCTTTTATGGGGAAAAATACTTCTACCAATAACTTACTGGTTTACAGCACAAACATTTGTGAATAATTCTCCATTTTCATTCATTACTCCTAAACCATGTCTTCCCATAATCTCTTCATAACCTGTGTTATCTGATCCTGTCTTAGCATTCAGGTCACCAATACAATTTTTAGATTGCACTTTCTTTCATTATTTATTATATTTTGAAGCTGCATGTAAAATTCTTCCCTAACAGATGCATCTTTATCATTTGTTGTGTGTAACATTGTATTACCGACATGTTCATCTTCTGTTTCGCTGTTCTAAATGACTCCTATTATTTTGGGACTGAGAGCTTCCCATTTTATTAGTGCAGTGCCCTGTCTGCTTCTTTCGATAGCATCAGGGCCACTCCTTCACTGTGAGATGACTTTTCCTCTGTGTGTCCTGAGAACAATATAGTTTCCTCTGAATTTAGAAAATTGTCCCCGCCCCAGTCAATATAGTTTCACATAACCCTAAAATACTAATTCTATAGTGTTTTATTTCCCTTACTACTTCTATTGTTCTCCCTATAACATAGAGAGTTCTAGCATTCCAGGTGCCAATTCTGGAGGTTTTTCTAGCTGAGAGGGGGTATGTCGACGATCCGGACTCCTTTCGGCTTTCTCCACAGTCATACTTTTTCTACTTGAAGAGCCTCTCCCTATCTTGGTTGGCTAGGTTGTACTTGCTTCGCCTTTTGCTTCGCATGGTTGGTTGGATTTTGTGGCTATTGTTTTTAATGGATAAGGTAGCCAACCTCAAGCCCAACCTTACCATTAGTCGCCTTTTACGACACGCATGGTAGGGTGAAGTGTCACTATTCTTTGCTTTTCGTGAGGGCCCCGGTGACACACTGGCGAGAACGGGACCGGTAACCCTTTGGAAATAAGTTAGTTCTTTCGTTCATGATTCGTAACTGCAACTATCATTTGTGTGAATACTCCTACCAGGACTCTCTGTAACCGGCTACTCTCGTCACGACCGAGCCATGTCTCTTTGGGACGACACGGACAGAAAGGCCTTAAGTGTGGAACCGGCGGACTACAAATATCCCTTTGAGAATCTCGTCTTTGAAGGGGGAGGCAACAAGGCTTTTGCGTACTGTGGAGCCATTCACGTGAGTAGGCTCCCTTGTTTGTGATATATTTTTAAAGACCACTTGCAGGCCTATTAGGCATATAAGGTTTGACCTATATTTTAAATACCAATCTGGGGAGGAGCATCACTTTACTTTGCAGAACTTCACGTGCTACCCATTCAGGGCTGGGTCGAACTCGGAGGCAAGGTCAGGACCCGAACCCACGAACCTTTTGATCCGCAGGCCAGCGTCTAGCCACTATGATATGTGTGTTTGGGAATTTGTTATTATCAACTGCCTACTCTCTGCCACCGTTTCCACATAATGTCTCATGATTTACTCCCGTGTATCAGGATAGGAGTTATAACGTACACAAGATACCCTGGTAGTATATACGTGAAATATACTAGCACTGCAGTCTATTACAGATAGACTCGAAGTGCTAAAGCCAAGTCATATCTCAGAGTAGCCGCAATTGAGGAACATCTCCTACATAAAGCCCTTTGAACTTGAACTTTGAACTTTTGAACAACAAAACAACATCATGGCACACGGGTGTAACCTATAAGTGCTCTGTTCTTCTTCTAACTCAAGTCCAAAGAAGCTCAGCACAGCAACACAGCGGCGAAGATCCTGAAAAACTTTGGGTAGATTTGTGACTCCAAATTTTGCCCAGGCAGCGCCTTTAGGCTACTCTTTTCGATTTTCAACTGCCAAGGGATTTGTTTACGTGCGCAACAATGCACACGGGCGTCAGATCTCACTACCCTGAGACAAGGGGGAATTACTAAGAGTCCAAGTCCATGTGAAAAAATGTCAGCGCTTAGCGGGGTTACAGACTTAAAAGAGGAAGATCATGGATGGCGCAAGTTGAAGACGTAGTTACACATGTTTGTAGACTTCATAACATTGGGCGAGGAGAGTAGTGGATCAAAGTGTCCCAGCAAAAGTCAGACTTGTATATGGTTCTGATCTCACTGGGCTGTGAGTGCTGAGACTGGCCGGTGATCTCTGCAGAATCAGAATTTCAACAAAGGATTCATGACATTTCTTACCCGGGTGTGCTCTATGAAGAGCGGCAAGCATCGCTTTAAAGATCCCGGATAGTTAGCGTCATTTTGATATTTTCCCCAGGAAATGCCAGTGTATTAGGAAATGAAAAGGCTGATGGCCTGACTGGTTCTCCACAACTTGGCGATGAACTGATGCATGACAAGGTATTTGTTGTATGGGTCTGGGGAGGGAGGGGGGCGAGTAAACTATGCGGAAGCACAGATAGATCAACCTGGTCTGATGAGCATGGTACTTAGAGGAGTAACCATGGGATCTTGTCGACGATCTGCACTCAAAGGAAACATGAGACGGATTTACAATCTGAGTGCTCTTGGTACCAGGTGTGTCGCGAAATAGGTTTCTCTGTTTTGGTAGATCGTGAGCGTAAATAAGTTGAGAAACACTGCTTTATATGAGTGTCAATGTCTATTTATTGATCCTTTTGCGTCCCATGCAATTATTATATTAACTCTTTAATTCTAGGAAGTTTAGCTTGAAAACAATACAAACTGTGGTTTGAATTAGTGCAAATGAGATATTACGAGCCAGAAGTGGTTAAATTAATAAGTCAGATACAAAGGGTTAAAAACGACTGTATGTGAAAGCCGGGAGCATGAACATGATGTTTTCTATGGAATCGCTAAGACACGCAAAGTACCTCGCTCAGGTACTTAAAGAGGTAATATATCTTATGTATCTGCAGTGTCTGGAGGAACTGAACATCATGCCTCAAATCAAACGACTTGGAGGCAGTAGCGCTGGAGCTTTGACCGCTGCTCTGGTAGCCCTCGGCTACACTTCGGAAGATATCCGAGAGTTCATGACAGAGAACATTGAGAAAGTCTTACTGGGTAAGTAGTTCTCGGTCAAGTTATGGCGATATAAAATTAGGAAAGTCTTACTGGGTAAGTAGTTCTCGGTCAAGTTATGGCGATATAAAATTAGGAAAGTCTTACTGTGTAAGTAGTTCTCGGTCAAGTTATGGCGATATAAAATTAGGAAAGTCTTACTGGGTAAGTAGTTCTCGGTCAAGTTATGGCGATATAAAATTAGGAAAGTCTTACAGGGTAAGTAGTTCTCGACCAAGTTACGGGAATATAATATTAATAAAGTCTTACTGGGTAAGTAGTTCTCGGTCAAGTTATGGTGATATATAAAATTAAGAAAGTCTTACTGGGTAAGTAGTTTTCGGTCAAGTTATGGAGATATAACATTAGGAAAGTCTTACTGGGTAAGTAGTTTTCGGTCAAGTTATGGAGATATAAAATTAAGAAAGTCTTACTGGGTAAGTAGTTTTCGGTCAATGTTATGGCGATTTAATATTAGGAAAGTCTCACTGTGTAAGTAGTTCTCGGTCAATGTTATGGCGATACAACCTTAGGAAAGTCTTACTGTGTAAGTAGTTCTCGATCAATGTTATAGCGATATAAAATTAAGAAAGTCTTACTTCTTAATCAGTTATCGGTCAGGTTATGGTGAAAAAACATTTAGAAAATCTTACCGGGTAAGCAGTTCTTCGTCAAGTCCTGGGAATATAACATTGAGAAAGTCTCACTTGATAAGTATTTTTTGGTCAAGTTATAGGGATATAACACTGAAAAAGTCTTACTAGGTAAGTAGTTCCCAGTCAAGTCATAGTGATAGATTAATGTTTAATCATCAGCTGAGACAGACGTATCTTTCTCAACACAGACTGCACCAATCAAATTACCTGGAGAAATCCGTGGTAGCTTCCGTCGCAGTGTTGGTGGCTTTTGGCTGTATATCGGAAGATATCCGAAAATTATGACAGGTTTGTATTTACTGGACTGCTCCGCATCATTACGCCTGCCGTCTTTACTTCCCAGAACATACATCCTGCTACCAATTTTAGGCTGGGTCGACCTTCTACGCCCTATACCATGATAAAAATCTACGCAGCCAGCAGTGGGTTTCAATCGCGGTACACTGGAATTACGAGTCGGATTCGTAACGCCTAAACCACTAACACTGCATTGCTCCACCCAGTACTATTTCTTTTTACAACCAGGGTTTCAAACAGTCTTAATTGATAAGTGAACATTAAAATCCTACGTCGAACGGATGACTTCATTGCACCGAGTTTTATCCCACATGGCTCGATCTTTCAACAGACGTCAGGCCATCTGCCGAAAATGTAACGTAAAACACGAGCTCCATAACTCAAAAGACGATTCTCTAGCTCAATGCGTAAATGACAAGATCCTTCACGTCCACCCTCATCCCTCCCGAGCATATTCCAAGACTATCACGCCCGCTTGAGCATATGGCAAGACCCCCACCCCCCCTTGATTATATTTCAATACCGCCACGCCCGCTTGAGTAAATGGCAAGATCCCTACGCCCCCTTGAGTATGTGGCAAGACCCCCACACCCCCTTGAGTATATGGCAAGACCCCCACGTCCCTTTGAGTATATGGCAAGACACCCACACCCCCTTGAGTATATTCCAAGACCCCCAGGTCCCTTGAGTATATTCCAAGACCCCCACGCCCGCTTGAGTATATGGCAAGATCCGCACGCTCCCTTGAGTATATTCCAAGACCCCAACGCCCCCTTAAGTATATGGCAAGATCCCCACGTCCCCTTTCCCCCAACCCCTTCCTCACCAACGACTCCCAATATAAAAAAGTGTGATTAAAAAGAGGACAGTGAAATCTGCAAAAAAACAAAACAAAAACAGACAGTATTAAAATAAGTTTTGTTCAGAATGTGGTTTTAATCTAAAATTGAATGCACGTGTTATCATGTTAATTAGATTTTTAACTGTAGATTTACAAACTGTTTATAAAAACAAAACTAAAATGCCATTGGTTTTTATTTTTATTTTTAAATTTATTAATTTATAATAAAAAAGAAAACAGAATATTGTAACTTTTTATTAGAAATATGAATGCACTCAATTTCGCCCCTTCACCTCCTCCCCGCCTTTCTCTTTATTGAAGATCACTGCGATAGGTAAATACTGCATTTGTAAACTGAACTAATTCATTGGGGGTGGGGAGGGGTAGGAGTTGGGGGGGGGGGGGGGGTTTAACAGTGAGTGACAACATTCTAACCAACCTGGAGCGCACTACTCCGTTAAGGAACTCCCCCCCCCCCCCCCCCCACCATCTCTCTCCCCGGGTATAACTGTAAGAAACCGAGTTCAGCCCTCAGGTTTGTTTGTTTTAGTATCCAGAAGCTATGAGTTGTTAACCCTTAGGCTCGGTATTATGGATATCGCAACCTTTCGGCCTTGATTCCATTGTAAATACTGTAAATCTGGGAGAAAATGTGGCTTTCCTGCCTACCCCTGGGATTGAACCCGGACCACAAGGCGTTCGTCACCCGCTCTCCGCGCAATCTGGTTTAGCCAACTACACCAGAGAGCGGGGCAGCCCTTAGGTTATATTAAGGCCCCAGACAACAGCCGGGATGGGGCCGCTTGAGAATAACAGAAACATACGTCATATATTGGGGCTAGGTGTATAATTGCGTTTTTTTCAAAAAGGGGAGTGGGGGGAGGGGGGGGGGGGTTGTCACGCCCTGGTTCTGCCCATTTGACACTGAGGGAAAAACAAGGGCAAACTTTCAATCGGATTGCAGCTGGCACTATTAGTATGGTGACTCTTCGTTTGTTACTAAAGAAGAAGACGGAGCACGCTTTTGAATGTCTCGAGTGCAGGGATGTCAATTCTTGATTTACTCATTACTTGAGTGGTTTTAAAACATTCCCAGGGATTAAATCCATATTATTGTAACACGGGAACCACCGTGGTGTTGTGGCTAGATTATCGCTGCGGATTGGAAGGTCGTGGGTTCGTGTCCTGACGGAGCCGGACTGTGTTTTCAAAAAATGACCCTAACTCTCAGGTCAACCCAGCCTTGAGTGGGTACCAGGTACAGTCCTGGGAAGTAAAGGTGGCCGGCATGATGCTGACTACACAACCTATCGAGTGCTGATTGGTTTATAAAATAACGGTCTAGCCCTATATGCCAAATAGGTCTGAAACCGTGGAAAAGAGTTCTTTACTTTTTTGCTTTTATTGTAACATTTAATTAAGGGAGTTAACCAGATAATACAGATCCTGACTAATGATTATCTCCCATTTCTCAGATCACATGTGTGGATGCTTAAGTTTGCTGCCAAATCTCTTCCGGAGATGGGGTTGGAACCCCGGAGACAGGATTTACGAGTGGCTAGGAGATAAAATCAAAGCAAAAACTGAATCTAAAAATCCAGATTTAACTTTCTTTGAGGTAAGACCCCAAAAATATGACCATAGCAAGAACAAATACCTTACTCCACACTCAACCATGCCCTCGCCAACAATGCACAAATTCGGGGAAGAGCTCTGAACACTTAAGCCGCTCTCCCTCCCTCCACCTACACGCCCAGCATCAGGGTATGTCCTTTTTTTTACTAGCCGACCACAAACAGGGGAAATCCACAGGTCACGGGGCAGTGAAATATTTCAGGGGGTGGTAGATCAAGCGAATAGCTTTGGTTAGGGTTAGGGTTAAGGTTAGGGTATTAATAAGATATACCTTGGCCTTGGAAGAAACGCGCTAGAACACAGAACACACGGAAAGCCCGCTTTTACCATCCTTTTAAATATTGGACTGTTCCGTGACGTCATTTGTGGTCGGTTAAAAGGAAAGTACCAACATCAGGGGACTCCCATAGCGCGTGCTGCTCACTACCTTACACATTGTGTAGGCAAAAAAGTGTGTAGGGGATGGAAACTCAGGTACTTGAGGAGCCCTAGAGACAAACTAATTTTTGTAAGAGGGCTGAGACATCATATAGAAATGATCTATTACAATATTTGTGCATGACTTTCTTATTATTTAAAGTATATTGTTATAGCGCCACGACGGATTGGAAAAAAAAATTATAGCAGAAGGCATGGTACCAGGAAGGAGGGGCAGGGGCCGACCGACACGAAGATGGGCACAGGATATAAGTGACTCCTTGAGTGTGAAAGTTCATGAGGCGGGAGAACTGGCAAGAGACCGAGTTTCTTACAGGCAGATTGTGATGAGAGCGACGTTCTGCAAAGGACCTGCTACATGATGATGATATTATTATATTTATTTGCAATTGAGCACATTATTATTTCTAATGCATGGTTACAAGTGGTCTCTCCGTTTACTTACATAGTTATGGGGAGAAAGGGGGAAGCTCGAGGTACTTAGGCGCACCAGCTTTCGGCACTTGTAACAGACCAGGTACAGCCATAATGCCGTACAATAAATTGTGCACGTGGTATGGGGACGTCGCATGTCGACCCAGCCTGAAATGGGTACCAGGATGGGCTGTCCTGGGAAAGTAAAGACAACCGGCGTAATGCTGACCACATTACCCACAGAGTGCTGATGGTCTGTAAAAATATGGGACGCTCTGGCCATATGCCTGATGCGCCGAAAGGCGTGAAAAGGGAACTTTACTTTTTTAAAATTGCATAGACAATGCCTTGCAATAAACTGGGTATTATATTACAGCGACAATGCCTTTGAATATAATTTGCACTATATTGCAGCAAAGATGCCTTGCAGTATATTGTGCAAAAGCAAAACAACAATAACCCACAACGGTTCTGAAAAGAGTTGCTGAAAGAAATAAAAAAGAGCCAACTGAAATATTTAGGATACAATAAACGAAATTAAACTCTTTAAGAAAACACTCTGGAGAAGAAAATGCAAAGCAGTAGAACAAGAGGTAGACAACGATACAAGGACAACATCAGTTGATTGACGAACAGCCTGAGAGAGTGTAGTACTACCAAAACAAGAGACAAAGTATGCTAGAGGTCCATTTCAGCAAACCTTTAACGTGGAGACGGCACGTGATTTAGTTGAATAGACTACATTGATGATGACACTTTCCTTGATGAAACAAAAGGTTTACACGTGCCCTGCCAACTGGTGTAGGCGCTCATGCATCTCTACAGATCACGATCCCTGGTTGCCTGGAACAGCTCTCTTGATGATATCCCTCTATGCCATCGTTTCAACCCATCCAGCATCATCTCTCTTGGTCTGCCTCCACCCTTCTTTCTACTGACTTTCCAGTTGTCACGATGCTTTTCAATGCCCCTCTTCTCATTACGTGGCCAAAGAACAGTGTTTGTCTCCTCCATATCTACTTTCTTTATCTTCTTTCAAACAATCGTTGTTAGTTACTCTGACCGTTCAAGGGATTCGTAACATTCGTCTTAGAAACCACATCTCTGTTGCTTCTAAATTCCTCTTAATTGTTCACTGATATTCCAAGACTCGCTGCCATACAGCAGAACAGGTTCTATATCACATTTTAGCACCCTCTTTCCAACATTAAATGAGAGCGACCAATTACAGAAGATATTTTTCATTTTCTGAAATGATGCCTTCACTTGACCTAATCTGCTTTTAATCTTTGTCACACATTTTCCATCTGATGATATGATTGTTCCCAGATATTTGAATTTATTGACTTGATTAAGTCTCGTTTCCTTCAAATGAGATTCCACAATGTGGTTTTATCTTCTTCTTTGATATATAACCATTACTTCTGTTTTCTTAATATTCGCGAGAGTCCTTTCTTAGCACTCTCCATCTCCACAATATTCAGCAGCAGTTGTAAATCAGTTCCGTTTTCAATTATCAAAACTATATCAATGGCATAATCAATCAATCAGGTGCCGTCTCCACAATGAAGGTTGGCTGCAATGGATCTCCAACAAGCCCTGTCTCTTGTTCTTGATGTACACTCACTCATACTGCTGTTCGTCCATCTCTTGATGTTATCCTCCCACTTGTAACGCTATCTGCCTCTTGCTCGCCTACCTTGAAACGTTCCCTCTAGGATGATCTTTGCAATACTGTTATGTCTTTTAATGTGACCAAAATATTTCACTTGTCTCTTTTTTATTTCACCCAACAACTCTCTTTTCAATCCCAATTTCCTCAGTACCCATGTATTTTATAGCTTTTGTTTCCATGAAATACGACCTAATCTTCTGTATGTCCACATCTCCAAAGAATTGATACGATTTTCCAATGGCATAATGCAAATTGTTTATAGTGTATCCTAAAACCCTCATTCACGCTTTCTCTTTAATTTTCCTCAAAATTATTTCACTATGTGGAGAAAAAAGGTCTGGGAATAAGACACATCCCTGTCTTACTCCTTGCTTTATCGGTTCAAAAGTACCCAATCTGTTTCCCACTTTAATTGCTGCTACTTGGTTCCAGTAACTGTTTTTAATTATTCTGAGGTCACTCCCGTCTACATTGATGTCTTTCAACATTTCAATTATCAGTCATACTGGAGATAGAATATGCATTTTATTTGCAGTCGCAGTACATCTTCCTTAAAGACAAGGATACAATTAACTGCACACAAATGAGCCAGATCTCTGAAAAGGATGCATCCAAAAAATGATCGTGCAAACAGGAATTTCCGAAGAAGCTTGTAACCAATGAAAAAAAAAAAAAAAAAAACATAGAACTATCTAGATTAATAAAGTGTGTTTCATAAGTCGTGACTAACTTTAAAACCTGTAGCTCCGTAGCCGTTGGATGTAAGTTGTTGAAATTTGGCATGTAACCTGCTAATAATCATGTCATTATATGCAATGTTTGCAAGTGTAAACAAATATCATTTTTTTTTTTATTTGTCTTATTTGCGGTATATGGGAAAATCAGATAGCGATTCAAAGCAAACAATCAACATGCTTAAAATTAACGGAGAAATGAAAACTATTCAAAACATCAAATTATAAGCGATATATAGACCTATCACTATCAGGTAGTTCCACTTCCACCCATCCCCAAATAATCCCCATGTATCACCCCACACGGGAAATGAATTTTAAACAATTTCCACGCTTGCGTCAGTGACGGTATATTTTTTGTGTCTAACGGTATACATATTATTAGTAAAAAAAAAAGATCAAAGAAATTTGCCGTTTTAAGAAAGCAGCAGCACCTGTGCAGTTGTAACTACAAAATCTAAGGACATGGGAAATCAAAAGGCACATATACAGATTTGTCTGGATATGTCCAATAGTTTTCGAGATATGTGTAAAACTATCAAGGCACAACTTTTAAAACTCATTATAGCATTTAAAAAACTATGATTGTTTTCAGCTTTATCAAGAAAAAGGTATCGAACTCTGTGTTGTGGTGACCAACCTAAACCAGATGAGATCGGAATACTGCCACCCCAAGACAACTCCAGACATGACCATCAGGGAAGCACTGCGCATGACCATATCTATCCCAGGTATCTAAATGTTAGATTTAGTTGTTTATTGTTTTATTAGGTAGGATCTAGTGAGATCTGGGATCCCTCCCTTCGACCCTTTGCCATAGATAGATATTATTAGCTTCACTGGAGGTTTTATTTACTGGGGGACTTCCGTCAGCACTACGTCTGTTTACAACCAAGGTTGCCGAAGTTGGTACTTTCGTACATATTTGGTACTATTTAATCTTGCCGAGAAAAACTGTACTTTTAGTATCTAGCACCATGTTTCGGTACGATTTTAAATTTTAACATTTGGTTGAACCTTTAAAGTGATTGCTACTGTACAGTAAAGAAGCGGAACGCAACCGTTGATGCAAGTTGACAGTTTAATGTGATTGTTCAAGTGTGCTTTTAACTGGAATCTCCTAAAATCTTGTCATCCCTTTGTGGGATGCAGTTTTTCGTTATTTGAAGCCCTACTCTGGCTCTTGCCAGGGACCGCAATATAGCCAGGCCATAAATATGGTCTAATGGCTGAACGAGGTTTCTGCGACCTCTCCACGGGTGATCCTCATCCACATGGTGGCACTTTGTGTCAACGGGTGTTTATCGCTTGTGTGATGTCCTGGTGGGGGTACAAGAATATAGATAGAAGTATGCTTTTGTTTAAGTTTCATAGGTTTCATAGGAGGGAGATAATAGTGCCCGATCAAACCATCAAAAGAAAAAAAAAACTAGTCACAATTTCGGGCCCTGGCTCCCGCCCATATACACAGTTAGGAATGACGGAGGCGGGACAGGACACTGTGATTAGACGGTGAGTTCCCCCGGCTGAAGCTGTCAAACGGTCACGTCTTAGAGGCAGGGGTGTGAGTTGTCTCTCATGCGTACATGTTGGACTGCGGACAGGTACACAGTGGCTTTTCGGAGCTACACAGTATATGGTATTAGTGTTTGTTGGTGAATACATGACAGCCGTCTAGGATTTTGCTAAGGAATTGAGTTTATTGCAGCGAAACGTAGAATGCACTGTCTCGTCGGACCTAGGTTAAGTTTGTCGCGATTGGGGTTTGGGTTACAGCCAGCAGCAGATTTTATGCTAACTTGCTGTAGTATAGAGGTCGCGTCACGGAATGAGTTCTAGATGTCTTGCAGTCGTAAATGTGTGTCATAAAATGACGCCTATCGGACACAGCCGCGGCGACACGTCTGTGACTTTTGCAGACTAGACCAAATGTAGTTTACAATTTTAGAAGAAAATTATGGATATAAACATCACTTTCCATTAGTATCAAAAATGAATGCTTAATCGTATGGCAGTACCTCAGTCCTCTGAAGTGCAAAAGGGTTCTCTCTCCACCTAACAGTACTGAGATAAAAACTCTCTTGTTTTTAATACTTCAAAAATAGATACATTGATGAGATCAAAGTTATTACTTCAGGACATTAACTGAAGCTGTTACAAATACTACTACTAATACTAAAACTACAACTATCAGCACTACAACAACAACTACTTCTACAACAACAACAACAACAATTACTACTACTACTACTACTACTACTACTACTACTACTACTACTACTACTACTACTACTACTACTACTACTACTACTACTACTACTACTACTACTACTACTACTACTACTACTACTACTACCACCACCACCACCACAACTATTACTAATACCACTAACACCACCACCACTACTACTACTACTACTACTACTACTACTACTACTACTACTACTACTACTACTACTACTACTACTACTACTACTACTACTACTACTACTACTACTACTACTACTACTACTACTACTACTACTACTACTACTACTACTACCACTACTACTACTAATACCACCACCACTACTACTACTACTACTACTACTACTACTACTACTACTACTACTACTACTACTACTACTACTACTACAAACACCACCACTACCACCACAACCACCACAAAACCACCATCACCACCACCACTACTACTACTACCACTACTATTACTACTACCACCACTACCACCACCACCACCACTACCAACACCACTACTATTAATGCCACTACTACTATAACTACCACTACTATGTATTGAATGTAATACAGGTATATTCATGGCAAGGTTCTATGACAACTATGGCCAAAGAGACACGTACGTGGACGGTGGGGTTTTGTGCAACTATCCCATACATTGTTTTGATGGTAAGTACCATCCTACTTTCTGCTATACAACCACGCTTCTATGTGTATTTATAATGGTAAGTTATCCCACAGCTCACGGTGTTCTACCACACTTCTGTGCGCTGTAAACTTGGTAAATTCTCATACTTCTGTCTGAGTTTGACCATTCTACAGTGTGCGTAGAAATGAGATGTTTGAAAAAAGTAATCAACATAACACGATGGCATAATAGGAGAGTATAAGTAAAAAGTAAAGGACCTTTTTCCACGCCTTTAGGCGTATAGGGCATATAGGGCTAGACCTATATTTTTATAGACCATCGGCACAAGATGGGTGATGTGGTCAGCATCACGCTGGCCGCCTTTACTTCCTGGGACTGCACCCGGTACCCACTCAAGGCTGGGTCGACCTGGGAGCCAAGGTCATTTCTGAAAAAAGTCCGGCTTCGCCAGGAAGCGAACCCACGACCTTCCGATCCGCGGCGAGCGTCTAGCCGCTCGGCCACCGCGACTCCCCATTATAGGAGAAACGAAGATATAATTTCTGACGGTCGGCCCCCTGATACCACTGTCAAAACCAACGCAAGGCGTATAGCCCGCAGCTGGGATCGAACCGGGTACCCCAGCCACAGAGCAGACAATGGTAAACTACTAAACGTAAAATTTGCAGAGAGAAACCAGGGCAGCCAAACACATGCTGGGGTTGGTTCTGCACCGTCCTGTAAAGGAAACACAACTAACTAACTAACTTCGTTTTGTAAAAAAAAAAAAATACCCTGCAAATCGAAAGATAGGTCGAGGTCAGACTCACCGCAACAAAGAAATTATTTTGGAGGGTAAGGGACTCAGGCCCCTCATAATTATCTGGGACCACAGGCTAAAAGTAGTGTTTAAGAGCGCAATGGTAATAATAATAATTATTATAATTATTACTTGCTGAATGGCAAATACGTATAGTAATGTATCGATATAATGTGTCTGTGGTTGAGGCATGTGTTTGAATTGATTATCAGGTGGACCTTGAAACACTTTCCCTTGTTTTGGTGGGTCGGTCGATGTCTGTGGCTTAGGCGTTGGAAACGAGTTTAGTAGGGCCGGGGTGCCGGGTTCGATCCCAGCTGCTGGCATTGGTTTTGACAGTGGCATCGAGAAGCTGACCGTCCAGAAAACAATGGTAACCTACTGGACGTAAGCTCGCCTAGAAAAACCACAGCAGCCAACAAATGCTGTGGTTGTTTCTGCAATATCCTGGAACGGATACGCAACTAACATAACTTTTGTTGGGTCGCGGGTTTTAAACAAATTGAAGAACACTGGTGTAGCTCCCAAATTCCAGATACGCTAAAAGCATGAACAGGATGGTTTCCTGACTTCTATTCTTTACTCTCTACGTGACGGTTACTTTATCCAGGCTGGTACTTGTCTATGGAAAAAGACGATGCATTTCTTCTACGAATGCAGAACCTGCGCGAGCTGCCCAGGACGTGTTCAGTGAAAAATACTTTTGACAGCCTTAACATCAAGACTCTGGGATTTTTGTTGGTAAAGTCACCCTCAACAACATCATCATCATCATCATCAATATCAGAATGACCATCAACATCAACAGCCTCATCAACATCATCATCGACATCTTCATCATAATCTTCATCATCAATATCGCCTCTACTGTCATCATCTTCTGCATCATCATTATTATCATCATCTTTATCATCATCATCATCATTATCATCATCATAATCATCATCATCATTATCAATGCCATCTTTATCATCATCATAATTATCAAATATCATCATAAACATTATTTTAATCATCATCTTTCTCATAACTGTCATTATCCTCCTTTTCCTTCTCCTCATCATAATTAAAATCATCAGTATTATCATCATCGTTAGCCTTACCAAAAGGTCTCTAGTTTCTCCATAAACCTTGGTCTATTTTTTTCCCCCTATATTAGCTCTACTAGTATAATCCTCTATGTTGCTGTTGTTGTTGTTGTTGTTTTGTAGTTGTTCTAGACAATTTTACGTGTTTCCAGCTGCAATGTTACATGAAGATTCTGAATTCACTTCTTCAGTCCTGAGCAACGAGCAATGCGTATTACCCTCTTCCACAGGAAACCCCAGCTATCATGTAATATTTTCAGCCCATTTTACTATTGGTCAGAGCAGAGTAAAGCAATATGGCTTCCATATTTGTTACTTCCGCTGCGTAATTTCTTTTTGTTTGAGTTATGAACCGTGATCATATAACTCGCGATAGGCCTATAAATGCTTCGTCCTTATATTCAGCAGCCAGCACAGAGTTACAGTTCCGATGGTACTAACAGTCTGATTGTCTGTCCGGCTGGTGTAATACTTGCCAGCTGGTCAGCTCTTTCATTATCATTTACTCCTGCGTGCCCAGGTGTGTAGATCCAGATGATGGAGGTTAACTGCGACTTCCAAATGCTTTCCAACCATTCGGAGGGGAGACTACCTGTAGCGATTTTCTGAAGTGTATTCTTAGATATTCCTGAGACTATAAGAGGAAAAAACCAACGTTCTAAAGGTCGTGGGTTCGGTTCCTGATGGTGGCCGGACTTTTTTCAAAAATGACCTTGGCTCCCAGGTCGACCCATCCTTGACTGGGTACCAGGTACAGTCCTGGGCAGTAAAGGCGACTGACGTGGTGTTGACCACATCCCACCTTGTTCCGACTGGTGTTTTTAGGCACTTCAGTCAAATTTTCTACACCAATAAAACCAGCACAGTTAGATAGCTGTAAACAATCTCTTTCCAATAGTACCTCATTTAGGCTTGTATGTCATTTCTGAGCTGAGATATGTAGGTTTTTGTGAAGATGAAATGTAGAAAGCAGCTGCTAAAACTTGCCTCCCAGAAACAAGAGGTTTTCTCTGCGCAACCACACTGCGCACTTATCGTTTTGGCTTTGTTGACATTGGACTGTCATTGGACAAGATGGCAGGCAATGAGGCACAGCCACATGCGATTGCCTAAAAAATGTCACTGTAAATCGAACTAGCCATACCTGGGAAATAAATTTTATATTCAAATGTAAAAATGGACGGAGAATTCAATTATAACTAGCATTACCGTACAAAGTAATGTTAAAGGCCTAAAGCCAACCGTGAATAGTTACCGCTATTTTTAATCAAACTGATGTAACAGAAAAACGGAGGACGTCCGGCTGTTGTAGACATGCGCTGTTAATCGGGTTCCTTCCCGCCGTTTTCAGCCATTTAGAGTGGGTGAAAATCACATTAATCACAATATTTCATGAGAGATTAGGACCCATCCCGAAACCCCAGCCGACATTTCCGAAGCAAGTTTCGAACGGTTTCCATGGTAACGGAAATTGCCAAATGATCGCAAATTTCCGGACACCGTAGTCGCTATTTATTGTATAGTTCCAGCCATATATGCCCACAACGCCTGAATGCATGGACAATAGTGCTTTACTTTTAACTTTCATTACTGCAAGAGATATAATTGACTGTATAGGAAGACAGATTGTAAATAGGAAGCTACCAGGTCGACCCAGGTTTAAATAAGTTCCATGTAAAGTTCTGGGAAGTAAAAGTGGCCTTCACACTACCCATATGATTCTTCTGCACTCGTCTTTAACAGTCCGGATGGGACGTTTTATTGCGGCTCACAACTAAATTATTCTACTTCTCCTCTCAGCCCAAAATATCTAATTTCAGCAAACTCATAACAGGTAATGTCCTTATACGACATGCTTGTAGGGGCAGGTAGTCTATCGCCCTCTAACCTCCTCGCCCCCCCCCCCCCCAAAAAAAAAAAATATAATTGAAAATGCGGAAAGGATAGACGGAGTAACAAGTGACAGTTTCCAATGATACCACATTGTCAATAATCCACAGTATGACGACACTGAGAATGAGATAATGAGATACAGCCTGGAGCAGAGAATTGGATCCTTAACCCCAGATGAACCTATCAGGTGTACCAAACTGTACAGGTGAGTATCTCTTTATCATGGACAACAGGTGAGCATGAAAGGTACTTTCAGAGTACTTGTACTGATCAACAAAACGTCTAAATTACAGTTTAGTGCTTTTGTTGTCTCCTGCTTAAAACTCAGTTTTATCATCATCATCATCATCATCATCATCATCATCATCATCATCATCATCATCATCATCATCATCATCATCATCATCATTTAATGCTTAGAATAAAGTATTGTGTTTTTGTTACCAGTTGCAGTCGTTCAAAGTACGTTGGAGTTCTTAGCAAAAGCGAATGGACGACGTTTAGTGCAGCAAAGACTGGCATATAATATTAGAACGTCTAGTTTGAGAATGGAGTTGGAGGCAGTCACTGCTGTCCTTCCGCTGGCTTGAGAATCAGCTGTACACACATGCCATCTTTGTCAATGACTTACAAAGCATGTTGAAAAATGTGGGGACAGGCATGCCCGTGTAGAGTGGCAAGCATCACTTCAAAGGTCCCAGATAGTTAGCGTCATTTTGATATTTTCTCATAGTCAAACTGATGTGTCGTAAAACAAGCAGGCAGATAGTCCGGCCGGTTCTGCACCACTTGGTGGAGAATTGATGTATGGCAAGCTAGACGTTGTGAGAGCCTTTTGGGAGGGAGTGAACAGTGCGGAGACACAAATAAATCAATACCGTCTGATGAGAATGGCACTTCGAGGAGTTACAAGGGGATCTGGCCGACGCCTGACACTGAGGGGAAAGGCAAGATGGAAATACAATCAGACAGTTACTGGTGCCATCGGAATTGGAACTTGTCGTTAGCTGCTGAAGATGGGAACGGAGCGCTTATGGAAATGTCTAGAGTGCTGTGGTGTTGATTCTTAATTCAACTTTCAACATCCAACCAACGTTTAACATACACCATTTGTAATCAATTTCTCCTTTGGGTCTCCGCAGCAAAGTGGTTCAGCCGTTTGACTCTAACTAGGAGGGTCGAGGGTTTATTTGACATAAAGCGTGAATCAGTTAACGACTGAACTTTTTAACAAAGAACCCTGGGATATTGTCATTGGAGCTAGTGAATTTGTGCTTTGTGTGTCGTTCGCGGCAAGCTGTTCAAGTTGTTGTGTGCAGAGAGACTAAGCTATACTGACTAAACCGGTGCATAGAAATAGATCATATGGTCTTTGTCGGCTCTGTGGCTAAGTCGATGCGAACGCTTCGTAATGCCGGGATGCTGGGTTCGGCTGCTGCGCCTCGAAGCGACAGTATCAGGGGGCCGACTCCTAGAAATCAAACTACTTAAATCCTAAAAAACCACACAACAGCCAAGGGCTGCTGGGGTTGGTTCTGCAACGTTCTGTAATGGATACGCCATTAACCTTTAACCATATGGTCTTTAACTTTAATTGAGGGATTAGATGCTTACAATTTAAGTCTAGTGTTATTATTGTCATCATTTTAAAATACACGAAGTTTGGCTTTATCGATATCTATTGTTTATAGCTCGTCTTTTTTAAATGTTGTAGTAAAGCTAAATGCAGGCTTTAGTCGGGAGCCCTAATATAACACAGGGGTTGAACGAGGTTTCTGGGACTCGTAACGGGATGATTCTTATTCAGATAGACAGACTGGCTGGCTCTGCACAACTTGGTGGAATACTGATGTATGATAAGGCAAACCTGGTTTGTGCCTTGTGGGAGAGCATGTGTAGTTCAGAGAAGCAGATGGATCACCACAGTCTGGTATTGATGCAAAGAGGTTCTGTCATAATCAGAGGAAAGACAAGACGGACGTTTAATCCAATATCTGGCACGAAGTATCAGAACTATTGCTACTGCTAGGCTACGGCACCGTGGAGAAATTCCCCGACTTCTGTGATGTGAAAAAAAAAGAGCCTCGCGATCAATAAAAGTTTGGGATACACTGGTTTATGTCAAGCTTTTCCTTATTGTTATCGATTGCCTGTTACTGTTGCTTTTTTATGTTATCTTCAGCGCAAGAAACTACATGATCTATTGTTTATGTCAGTGATTACCAAACTGTGCGCCGCGGCGCCTCAGAGAGCCGTGACCTCTTCACAGGGGCGCCACAAAATATTATAAAAGCGTCATAATTATTTTAACCAAATCACGAATAGTCATATTTTACTTAGGCTAGGGCACCGTGGAGAAATTTTAATTGAAAAAAAGAGCCCCGCGATCAATAAAAGTTTGGGATACACTGGTTTATGTCAAGCTTTTCCTTATTGTTATCGATTGCCTGTTACTGTTGCTTTTAATGTTATCTATTGCTCACAATTTAAGCTTGGTATTATTGTTTGAAGCTGGCAATTAAGGTTCAGGTTTACATGAACTGAAAATGAGAGCTCAAACTCATTTTATTGGATAATGCAGAAAACTCCGCAAGACGGAAATCAAAAACGAATTTGAACGAGAGCACAGCCGATGTCTGAAGGCGGCGGAGTCATTCATGAGGGTGAGTGTGACGGGCTGATAGTGAGTGCTAATGAACTGAAAGTGAGAGCTGCTTTTTAAAGGATAATGCAGAACACGAAGAACAAAATGAAGAAGAAGAAGAAGAAGAAGAAGAAGAAGAAGAAGAAGAAGAAGAAGAAGAAGAAGAAGAAGAAGAAGAAGAAGAAGAAGAAGAAGAGGAAAATGAGGAAGAAGAGCCATATGTGTTCGTAATCCAACATTGACGGAATTTATAACTGACCTGTGGTTTCCAGATAGACCCAGCCTAAAATGGACTCAAAAGAAGTAGCAAGCGGTGGGAGTGAACTGACCACATACACCCGAGAGTACTGATTGGTTTATAAAACTACCAAGTGGAAAACACGTATCAAAACGAGGCCAAAAGATGTGGAAAAGTACGGGATACCCATTTGTTACTAGCAGCTTAGCACCCACTTTTTTTTTTTTTTTTTTGGGGGGGGGGGGGGGGGGGGGGGTCTCCTCAGACACACACATTTTTACACTCACGTGTGTGTATAGATATGTGTGTGTGAATACGTGATAAAATTAAAGGAATTTATGATCTACACGGAACCTAACTAGCAATAGAGTGCAAAGGTATTAAAACAGGCATCTGAGTTTAAATATCATGGACCAATATTCACCAAAGATTATAAATTAGATAAAAACAATTAACATCCAATGCAGTGGTAAAAAAAAAAACCAAGCATTGGGACAGCCAAGCACCCCCCCCCCCCGCACCCCTCTCCACCCATCCCCCATCCCCATTTTTTTACAACACGACACAAAACAATCTCAATTAGCATAAAGTAACAAGAAGAGAGAATGCATTGGGACGCTATACCGTATAAGGACTACACGTAATGAGAAGACGGACGTAGATCATGATATAGATCAAGAACAATGAAAACAAAACATCAGGGAAACTCGACACCAGCAACATGTGTCTATAGTGGAACCGCCCATGGAGAGAGAAGCCTTATTTCTCCGTCGACACCCGAGGGGGTAAAGGAATAAATGAAGAAGATACATCCATACGGAACAACAATAGCTGTTTCAACTGTTTCAACTCAAAGGTTAACGGCAAAAGACAATATTATTGATGATGATATATACAAATATAATACAAACATGCATACATCATCATCATCATGTGCCTTGTCAGCTGGCGTAGGCGCCCATGCGTCTCCACAGATCACGATCCCTGGTTGACTGGAACAGCTCTCTTGATGATATCCCTCCATGCCATCGTTTTAGCCCATCCAGCATCATCTCTCTTGATCTGCCTCTACCCCATTTTTTCCACTGATCTTTCCAGTTGTCACGATGCATACATACATAGATAAATACACACATGCACACAAATAAACATGTTTCCCTTTCTCTCTACTTGACGACAGGCACTCTACAAGCATAATCTGCATGGTCAAGTGGTTATCTCAAAACAACAACTGAAAGATGCCTTAGAAGATGTAAGCAATGTTTTTCAATTAAACAGTACCGAACAAAGTAAGACAACGTTTGATAAGACGTCTCATGTAAGAAAGGTTTCAGTCATTTACCACTCAGGATATTTATGTGTTCTGGGTAAAGAGCAGACTGACAGGTCGGCTGTTGCTATTGCTCCACAGGGCGACAAACTGTTTTATGACAAGGCAGACTTGGTGAAAACTCTCTGAGATGAAGTAGACATACGTTCTGACAGAAAGTTCTGGTTGTATGTCCACTTCTGGACTGTAGTTTTATTTTACTTCTTGAGTATGCTTACACGGATCTGGATTAATTATGAGCAGACAATTGGTTCCTTACTCTTCCGCAAATGCAGCCTTACCGAAGGAATAACCCTAATTACAGTAAAACTTCCAGTAAACGGCTCTCACGCAGATGCAGTCCTGCCAAAGGAATAACCCTAATTACAGTAAAACTTCCAGTAAACGGCTCTCACGCAGATGCAGTCCTGCCAAAGGAATAACCCTAAGTACAGTAAAACTTCCAGTAACCGGCTCTCACGCAGATGCAGTCCTACCAAAGGAATAACCCTGATTACAGTAAAACTTTGAGTAACCGGTTCTTGTCTAACCATCAGTTTGTTATTTGTCATCGTCTTTAAAACAAAAGCAAACCTAAAAAAAAAAAAGACATCTTCAAAACTTGTCCACGGATGACGTTTACATTCTACTACATACAGCTGAATGTGTATTATGTGATGTCGGAGGGGATCCTAGACAAAGATTGTAATGGACAGGTGTTTATTTGTATCAGTCAGAATAATATAGAGGGTTTGAGCATGATCTATAATATGCATGGTTTGTTCACTTCTAAAGAATTGTATTTTCATGATTGTTTAAAGCCAGCAGTGAAATCACATTACCGTACATAGGTGTTAAGAGATTCATAACATCCGTCAATTCAGTTATCAGTCATAGCCCTGCTCCACTCGGTGATGGTAATACTAAGTTTTACTCTACGTAATTTCGCCACCCCCCACCCCCCCCACCCCAAATGGGGCCCTGACACCTAAACGGGGACAGTGGGTTTTTACAATTATAAAGCTAGCACCACATGTGAATGCAACCCAAATGCATTGTTTATATGTCCATTCCGTTTTGTTCTATATTTCTTTCTCTTGTAGTCCATAACGTTCATCGTCATATTAGTCTACATGTTTCTGTCTTGTCAACTATCATTTCTTAAACAGACTTAGAAAATTGAGGCCCGGCTCTCTAGCGTAGTTGGCTAAACAGGATTGCGCGGTGACCGGGTAACGAACTCCTTGTGGTCCGGGTTTACTCTCGGGGGTAGGCAGAAAAGCAACATTTTTCCCAGATTTACGGTATTTACAATAGAATCAAGGCAGAAAGGTTGCGATATCCATAATACCGAGCCTAAGGGTTAACAACTCATGGCTTCTGGATACTAAAACAAACAAACAAACAACATAAAATTGAGAAGTTCTGAAGATGGGCCGGCAAAGGACATTTCATTTGATTTTCACTAGCACAGTAACGGAGCAACTATGTATGGGGAAACCCGATTGCATTGAAACTGAAACCTTATCTAAAACTAAGACTAAGATTGATACTTACTGTCATAAAACTAAAGCTCTAACCAAGTAAGTCCGTAAGAAAGATTTGATTATTCTGAACAGGAATCCGTCTTCCCACGAGAAGACAAAGAACTCCTGTTTGGAATCAACATTTCAGTGGATGACGCCTTTGAAATCCTAGACAAGGATTCTAACGGACAGGTAATTATTTGTATCGGTCAGGAAAAATATACATGGTTTGTTTAGCACCTATCATCATCATCATAAACCACTTCTGCCGTTAAGCGCCGTGGGGAGGAATAATTTGCGATTCAGTGCACGTCGGCTGCCACTGGCTATTGTCATGCCGCGAAGGCTTGGTGTCTTTATGTCGCTGATCCATGATTTCTGCGGCCGTCTTCTTGCTCTTGTTGCTGATCTTCTGAGATGTAGTGCTTGTGATGGTATTTGATCTTGCGGCATTCTAACGAGATGGCCAAACCGCTTGATCTGCTGTTTCTTGATGAATCTAGTACAAGGTGTCGTTCCCACAATTTGCCTGAAATTTTCATTATTAACTCGATCTCGGAAGGTTAGGTTGGCTGCTTTTCTCAGGAACCTCATCTCGAAGGTAGTGATTTTCCGTATAAGGGCTTTAGAAAGTGTCCATGTTTGGCACTGTAGCTTAATGTTGGAATTAATATACTGTTAGGATTTATGCTACACAGAATAAAGAAGAAGAGGAAGAAGAAAGAAAATTGGATAATAAGAAGATGGAAGAGAAATGGAGAAGGAGGGACAAGAAGAAGAAAATAATAATAATAATAATAATAATAATAGGAACAATAGAAAGTGATGGATAAGGGAGAAAAGGGAAGGAAAGAAAGAAAAGGAGGAAGAGGAGGGCACGAAGAAGAAGAAGAAGAAGAAGAAGAAGCAGAAGAAGAAGAAGACAATAACAATAATAATAATAGGTACAATAGAAAGTGATGGTTAAGGGGGAACAGGGAAGGAAAGAAAAAAGGAGGAGGAGGAGGGCACGAAGAAGAAGAAGAAGAAGAAGAAGAAGAAGAAGAAGAAGAAGAAGAAGAAGAAGAAGAAGAAGAAGAAGAAGAAGAAGAAGAAGAAGAAGAAGAAGAAGAAGAAGAAGAAGACTTATCCGTAAAGGTTCAGTGACTGAAATGGAAACAGATAATACAACCCACTGCACATTGAGAAGCATGCCGCAAAAGGCTAGTAATTAAAGAACTCAGGCCTGTTGAAACACAATAGGTTGCTCGAAAGGCGTAGCTATCACAGCCTAGTTTTAAACCTCAATGTTTTAACACATTTTTTATAGGCTAACACACACGAAGATTTTGTGATACAATCGGGTGTGAGTTCACGTTGCTTAAAGTACAAATGTCAAACTGGTGGGTTGCGGGCCGTATGCGGCTCTCTGCAAGCACACTTGCAGCCCCCCCCCACCCCCAAAGGAAATTTTCTGCACCTCTTCATCTTCTGCTTTCTATCCCCCAATAGAGCATAGGCCCTCAAGCAGCTCACGCCAGGTCATGCTGTCCTTCCCTGATGCATGTACTTTACCCCATGTACCCCCCATCTTTTCAAACTCACTGTCTAAGTTTCTTCTCCAAGCTATTTTTGTTGTTGTTGCTTGCCCTTATTTCTTTACCCCTGTACAAAGACATTCTAGTTATATTGCTCTCAGGTTATTCTCAGCGGGTGTCCTATCCAACGCCATCATCTTTTCTCCACCTCTTGGTCACCATTAGTGATTTTATGACTCCAATTAGTTAACACATGCGACCATCACAAAGAAAAAAAAAATACATAAACCGTCATGAGAACACCCTCAGTTTGATATACCTAGTCTACCCAGGCTTGATTTAACGGCGCTGCCGGGGCAAAATTTGAGTTTAAAGTCTACACAAAGTATTTCAGGATCCTCGCCGGTGCTACAGAGCCTGTGCATTGTGTTGAGCTTCTTCGGACTCAGACTTGAGTTAGAATAAGAACGTAGCACTTATGGGTTACCACCCTTTTGCCATGATGTTGATCCGTTGTTCAAACCTCAAATCTCAAACCTCAAACCTCAAACACAGGCTCGATTGTCCCTCCTAAGTTTAGCCAAAGGTATAACTAGAACATCGGTATCACATCATGTTGCATCTTCATACTGGTACAAAGCACTGGTGACAAAAGACCACACATCAAGGAAATTCAGGAGTTCCCATGAAAGTTCAGTATTCTGTTGATGTTGTTGGTTGGGGTTACATTTAGGGTTAGGATCTTTGTCAGCTCCCACAGCGTCAAAGACAGCCACTATCAGTAACCCTAACCCCGAACCCACACCACTCCTAAGATATTGGACTTTCTCGGAAACTCCTGGATTTTGTTTGTTTGTGAATTAGAATTAACCTACCAAGGTACTTTCAGAGCACTTGTACGGGTCAACAAAAGGTCTAAATTACAGTTTAGTGCTTTTGTTGTCTCCTGTTTAAAACTCAGTTTTATCATCATCATCATCATCATCATCATCATCATCATCATCATCATCATCATCATCATCATCATCATCATCATCATCATCGTCATCATCATCATCATCATCATCATCATCATCATCATCATTTTCGTCATCATCATCATCGTCACAATCATTAACATTTATTGCCTGGTTTAAAGTATTGCGTTTTTGTTACCAGTTGCAGTCGTTCAAAGTCCGTGCGAGTTCATAGCAAAAGAGAATGGACGGCGCTTTGTCGTATATGATCCATATTCATAAGTAAAGTTTCTTTATTAAAACTGCACACGAACCTCGTCAATATCCGGTAACCTCAGCTAGTTATTGACAGCTATCCGTCTAAAGCTTCAAAATATCTATGCTGCAGCGTCCTATTTGCAATAAATGATGAAGAAATTGAAAATGTCACAAACTTTCAATATCTAGGCTCTATAATAAACAACAATGGAGGCTGTTTGACAGAAATTAAAAGGAGGATGGCCATAACAATGCAAAGATTGATACGCCTTAAAAGTCTATGGTTAAGCACCAGCAAGGAGATCAAAATTAGAATTCTGAGTGTATGCATCTTCCCTGTGGCTACATACGGATGTGAGTCGAGGACTATCTCTCAGACCGTAAGAAAGAGAATAGGGGCTTTTGAGCTGAAATGCTATAGAAAGATTCTCAGAATATCTTGGACAAAAAAGATGAGAAATATTGACATCTTAGAAGATCTGAACATCAAGGAAGTTTGGCTAATAAACAGCATCCTGTCTCGAAAGCTGAAATATTTTGGTCATATCGAGCGCCACGACGGATTGGTAAAAAAATTATAGCAGAAGGCATGGTACCAGGAAGGAGGGGCAGGGGCCGATCGACACAAAGATGGGCAGAGGATATAAGTGACTCCTTGAGTGTGAAAGTTCGTGAGGCGGGAGAACTGGCGAGAGACCGAGTTTCCTTCAGGCAGACTGTGATGAGAGCGACGTTTTTCAATGGACCCGCTACATGATAATGATGAGATTCCTATTTATTTACAGTCTATCTTCACCAGAGGTTCTCAACCTTCCTAATTCTGGGGCCCTTTTATACAGTTTTTCTTGTCGTGACGACCCTCAGCCATACAATTATTTTCGGTGCTTCTTCATAACTTCAATGAATACATGGTTACCGATAGTCTTTGGCGACCCCTGTGATTTGGTCGTTCAATTAAAAAAAAGGGTCGCGACCTGCAGGTTAAAAACCGCTGTTCTTCACAGACAGTTTTGAATATATCTTGCCGTAATAAAAGAAAAAAAGTAAAGGCACATATTCCACGCTTTCAGATATATTGGGTAAATAGGGCTAGACTTATATTTTATAGGCTAATCGGCATTTGGTGGGTGATGTGTCCCGCATAAGGCCTAGAGCCTAGGACTTCTTTTTTCTTCTTCGTCGCGTTCACCAGCTGTAAACTGTGACGGAAAGTTCTCGTTGTTCATCCATTAATCAACTGCAGTCCTGTTCCAGAACCTGAGTGTTGCGTGTGCATCCGTTTTACAGATCTTACTTATTTGTATGCAGATTCATGGTTCCTTACCTCTCAAAAAGACCCAAATGAACCACAGGAAACCTTATCTGAAAAAGGTTCTACACAATAAAGATTATCGCAAAATGAAGCAAATGCTCTGAGGATCCGAAACTGGGGACCCTAATATAAACTTACAGTTCAACCGGCTTTCTACCTGAGGGATTCTCATCCCAAAGCGACTATTTGGATCACCGGCTCCTAATCGCTCACTATAATGTCCTATTTTACATTTGCGCTCGTTGCCCTGTAACAATTTATTTAGGTTTGAGGATGACGTCTGACATCTTGATTGCAGACGAAACAGTTTCAAAAAGTAAAATACTAAAGGGCCAATTATATTCTGGAAAAAAATCCCTTTCGATTCGGATTCGAGCTGTAGACCTTTATGCCAACAATCAAGCCTCTAGCCACTAGGTTACCGCAGCTTTACGAGCAGTTAAAAATCATTACCTTACATGATCAAAGCACTACAAGATGTCAAAATGCAAATACATTTGTTGTTGTATTGCTTACACCCACACTCACACACACATATATATACACACACACACACACACATATATATACATATATATATATATATATATATATATATACATACTTATGTATACAAATATATACATACGTACACACATACAGAGAGATAAATCGAGCCAGCGAGAGAAAGCGAGAGAGAGAGGGAGAGAGAGAGGGAGAGAGAGAGAAAGAGAGAGACAGAGAGCGAAAGAGAGAGAGGTTGCGTGAAAGAGAGAGAGAGAGAGCGAAAGAGAGAGAGAGCGAAAGAGAGAGAGAGCGAGAGAGATAGAGCGAAAGAGAGAGAGAGAGAGTGAAAGAGAGAGAGTGAAAGAGAGAGAGGATGAGAGAGAGAGAGAGTGAAAGAGAGAGAGAGTGAAAGAGAGCGAGAGAGAGAAAAAGAGAGAGACAGAGGGAAAGAGAGAGAGCGAAAGAGAGAGAGAGAGAGAGAGAGAGAGAGAGAGAGAGAGAGTGAGAGAGAGAGCGAAAGAGAGGGAGCGAGCGAGAGAGAGAGAGAGAGAAATGCTTGAAGATGATTTGGCAAAATGGCATGGAAGACACTCTTTGGTCAGACTTATCAAGAGCACAACAAATCTACGTATACATACGATTGAAAGAACAAAATCACCTTCATATCAGTGCGATGACGAGAAAGTTGATGACGCTGATATTTAAACTGTTTGTAATACATTTATTTACGTCTAATGACCCTGTTCTGTCCCACTCTCACAGATCGCATTCCAAGAACTGTTGCACTTTCTGGAGATAAAAGGCATACGAATCCAGGTAAATGTTTAGGGTGGATGGTGTTTATGTTTAGGGTGGATGGTGTTTATGTTTAGGGTGGATGGTGTTTATGTTTAGGGTGTGTGATGTATTTCAGAAGCTGAGATGTTTAGGACCTATTTGGGTACAATAATGTTTACTCATCCCTAAGCACAGGCACCTCCAGAATCACCTGCCCAGTCCACTATTCTATGGGCGTTGTGACATGACTTCGTTACAATGTGGAAAAACCCAACACATAAACGATCTTTGAAAAGTGGTCTTGACTAGGAATTTTGAGATTCGCTTTGTTGCGAGTGAGTAAAAAATCATTGAACGCATACTTGGAGGATGCAGGATCTGAGTGTTCCAAAGGACGTCCTCTATACAGATTATGGATGATGAAACGAGTAGTCAATTGTACGGATAATGATTAGAGGTCATTCATTAGCACCGAACCAATACACAAATAAGGCAAGAATCCAGGCAAGAGTATGTGTCTAATTTTATACGAAAACGCCGCTGAAACTATGTCGGCCACACCCTTAGAACGAATAAATCAAGACTTCCTTACCAAGCCCTCATTTGGACACCACAGGGGAAAAGATCTCGTGGAAGACCAAAGGAAACCCTACGTAGAACTATCATCAGGAAAGGCTCGCTCATGGGCCACCATCCAAGACCTACAACAGATTGCAACGAACCGCCACGCATGGAGAGTCATGACCTCTGCCCTATGTGCCGCACTCGACACAAGAGGAAAGACTAACTAACTAACTAACTAACTAACTAACTAACTAACTAACTAACTAACTAACTAACTAACTAACTAACTAACTAACTAACTAACTAACTAACTAACTAACTAACTAACTAACTAACTAACTAACTAACTAACTAACTAACTAACTAACTAACTAACATTAGCACCCCTTTCCCTCTTTCCATACGATAGTGTTATATTGCGCTATGAAAAGGCATGAGACTCACAGCCCATGGCGATGGCGAGTATGACTAGCAAGACCCGCCCGTGTCAAGAAAAGTCTTCCACAATGATAGCATGGGATTTCAGGACCATTGTTAACAACATTTGATTTTAATCCGTTTCTTTTCAGACGCTCAGCTCTCATCCTTTTTGCAATCATTTCTTCCTTCAGTCTCATTCCCTTCCTGATATGCACTTTCCACACAACACGGTCCATGGCATTTTGTTCCCATGAGTCCGCCTCAATACCTGTATCATTCATGTCCCGCTTGCATACATCTTAATAACGTAGTAGAGATCGGCCTCGACGTCTTCTTCCTGTCTTTAATTCACCATAAAGGATGTCCTTAGGGACTGATTAGATGTCAAGGGGAACTTAAATACATATACAATAGCATTCCCATGGGCTCACCGGTAGAAAATTGTGACACAAAGTCTTGTGGCATAGAGAATGGAGGCAGGCGGACTGGTTGTGTTATCTGTAAGTAAAAGTAAAGTAAAGATCCATTTTCACGTCTTTAGGCGCATAGGGCATATAGGAAGAGCACCCATATTTTAACAGACCAATCGGCACTAGGTGGGTAAATAGTCAGCATTACGCCGGTGTATTATCTGTAACAGTAATATATGTCGCCGAGAACAAAAGAGTCCACAGAAATTCATCTTAAACCTTTGTTCTTGTATTATTAGTCTATTTCTGTTCAATTGTGTGTCTTTTCTGCTTAGCCGGACATAAATATTTATTACTGTTGGTTCAGATATTTAGATTAGAAAGAGTAACAGTCTTATTCCGTTTGGCAGAATCGAATCCATGGATATGAGAGGATGGAGATATCCAGTTTGCTAGATTTTGTTTTTGCTCTACAGAAGGCTTGGCTGATTAACATGAAGAAAGTCTATGCCGTGGTAGGTGTTAGTTTTATATTTATAAAACTATACATAAAAGGGTTGCTGGGGGGAGAGGGGGATTTGAATGTACAGATGTGTACGAGAGGAGGGACCGGATACATCTTAGTGTGCAGGGACGGGTCAGGCTGAGTAATTCTTGAAAGAGAGGGAGTGGGTGGGTGGGTGGGTCGATGGGTGGATGATTGACATACAGACAGACCGACAAGCAGGCAGGCTGACATAGAGAGATATAGTAGATAGATAGACAGACCTACAGGCAGGTAGGCAGACATAAACAGACAGACAGACAGACAGACAGACAGACAGACAGACAGACAGACAGACAGACAGACAGACAGACAGACAGACGGACGGACAGACGGACGGACGGACGGACGGACGGACGGACGGACGGACGGGCAGGACGGACGGACGGACGGACGGACGGACGGGCGGGCGGGCGGGCGGGCGGGCGGGCGGGCGGGCGGGCGGGCGGCGGCACGGCACGGCACGGCACGGCACGGCACGGCACGACACGACACGACACGACACGACACGACACGACACGACACGACACGACACGACACGACACGACACGACACGACACGACACGACACGACACGACACGACACGACACGACACGACAAGACAAGACAAGACAAGACAAGACAAGACAAGACAAGACAAGACAAGACAAGACAAGACAAGACAAGACAAGACAAGACAAGACAAGACAAGACAAGACAAGACAAGACAAGACAAGACAAGACAAGACAAGACAAGACAAGACAAGACAAGACAAGACTAGACTAGACTAGACTAGACTAGACTAGACTAGACTAGACTAGACTAGACTAGACTAGACTAGACTAGACTAGACTAGACTAGACTAGACTAGACTAGACTAGACTAGATTAGATTAGATTAGATTAGATAAGATAAGATAAGATAAGATAAGATAAGATAAGATAAGATAAGATAAGATAAGATAAGATAAGATAAGATAGATAGACAGACAGACAGACAGACAGACAGACAGACAGACAGACAGACAGACAGACAGACAGACAGACAGACAGACAGACAGACAGACAGACAGACAGACAGACAGACAGACAGACAGACAGAGAGAGAGATAGATAGATAGATAGATAGATAGATAGATAGATAGATAGATAGATAGATAGATAGATAGATAGATAGATAGATAGATAGATAGATAGATAGATAGATAGATAGATAGATAGATAGATAGATAGATAGATAGATAGATAGATAGATAGATAGATAGATAGATAGATAGGAAAAAAGATGGAAAGAACTTATTAACGAACCTGATTGTCAAACACAGGATGGGGACATCAACAGGACAGTGGGCATCAACACGGGACACATCGGAACCTCCAACTACATCTTGGAAGACGAGGACCGGGACTTCCTTGTGAAGGTACTGGATTTTCTTCTCCTGTTAAGTCTGTGGTTAACCACGACTGGCTTTAGCTGACGGGCCGTGCTGCTGACGTCACTGGTTGAGGCTAACGATGTGTTAAAGCAGCGGTTCGCAAACTGGGTACCGAGGCAGCCTAGGATGCAGTGAGCGTACGCCAGGGGTGCCGTGGCAATAGTCAAGAAAAGTCTGCTAAAAGTTGGGAAATTATCAAAGAAGGCATGTAGAAATGTTAAAAGTTAAGTTGTCTTTCCTCGCCACTGCCGAGAGTAGTTTATTTCTTGTTTGAGAACTACTTTAGAGTAGAGTAGACACACTGCCTATCTAACAAGCATGTCGTAAAAGCTGACTAACTAGGCAACTTCCCTCGAGGTCAGATTGCATGTTGTTGTTTAGGCAAGGAACCAACAATCTGCATACAAATAAGTCAGATCTGTAAAATGGATGTGCATGTAACACTCAGGTTTTGGAACAAGACTAAAGTCCAAAAGAGGACTAAGAAACTGAACTTTAGTAGGAGTTTATAGCCGGTAAATGCGAAGAAGGGTAAGATCTCCCGCTTGCACCTTGGCGTTGAGAAATATATGTCCCGTAGAGAGAATACACCAAACAGTTTGACACATTGGCATAAAGAAATATATGTCCCTCTAGAGAGAATACACTAAACAGTCTGACATCTTGGCATAAAGAGATACATGTCTACTAGAGAGAACATACTAAACAGGTTGACACCTTGGCATAAAGAGATATATGTCTGTGTGTCTGCTAGAAAGAATATCTAGACAGTTTGACACCTTAGCATAAAGTGATATATGTCTGAGCTGGTCCGGGTCTCTAGTGGAAAAGGGTTTCTCACCCTTTGAAAGTCCATCGTGTCCGAATTGTCTGCCAGTGATCCTCTGCCACCTGCTAATAAAGTCCAACATGTGTCCGTTAAACCAATCGTAAGCTTGTCGCTCGGTCGTCCAGGCACGCTGACTGTTCTAATTAGGCTGCCGCGACGACTTCTTATCTCACAGTACCTTTTGCAAACACCAAGTCGTCTTGACCCTATCCGAAAGAAAAACACCATCCGGTAATTCGTGCAGCAGGGTACCAGCCCTGAGCTTCATGAACTCAGGTGGGCCCACCTCCGAAAGCGTCTAGGAATCGTGGGCCGAAACGCTCGTTGACGAGGATAATTTCCACTGATGACTGGTAGATCCCTGCTGTACTTGCTCCCTGTGAGTTTATTCCTACTGCTAGAGAGAATATACTAGACAGTTTGACACCTTGGATAAAGAGATATATGTCTGATAGAGAGAATATACTAAACAGTTTGACACCTTGGCTTAAAGAGATATATGTCTGCTAAAGAGAATATGCTAGACAGCTTGACACCTTGGCATAAAGAGATATATGTCTGATAGAGAGAATATACTAAACAGTTTGATACCTTGGCTTAAAGAGATATTTGTCTGCTAGAGAGAATATCTAGACAGTTTGACACCTTGGCATAAAGAGATGTATGTCTGCTAGAGAGAATATACTAAACAGTTTGACACCTTGGCATAAAGAGATATATGTCTGCTAGAGAAAATATACTAAACAGTTTGACACCTTGGATAAAGACATATATGTCTGATAGAGAGAATATACTAAACAGTTTGACACACTGACATAAAGAGATATATGTCTGCTAGAGAGAATATACTAAACAGTTTGAAACCTTGGCATAAAGAGATATATGTCTGCTGGAGAGAGTATATAGACAGTTTGACAACCTGGCATAAAGAGATATATGTATGCAAGAGAGAATATCTAGACAGTTTGACACCTTGGCATAAAGAGATATATGTCTGCTAGAGAGAATATACTAAACAGTCTGACACATTGGCATAAAGAGATATATGTCTACTAGAGAGAATATACTAAACAATTTGACACCTTGGCACAAAGATATATGTCTGCTAGAGAGAATATACTAAACAGTCTGACACATTGGCATAAAGAGATATATGTCTGCTAGAGAGAATATCTAGACAGTTTGACACCTTGGCACAAAGATGTATGTCTGCTAGAGAGAATATCTAGACAGTTTGACACCTTGGCATAGAACCATATATATTTATTCATGTATGTGTGTGTGTGTGTGTGTGTGTGTATTTGTGTGTCTTTCTGTTTAGGATGAGAAATTGCTTTCAAATGTCAGGTAATCAATAAACACGTGCAACGATCCTTGGTACAGGGTGTGGTAATTTCTATAGGTGTGTTTCAGCGTGGATACAATGCTACAATGACATTCATGAGATATTTCGTGGTCACAAACCCAATAATTGTGAAGAGAAGAAAGCGTGATAAAACAGCTGGCTTAACTTCCTTGAGAATTGTAGTTGGTAAGTTGTAGTAGTTGGTAAAGTGTAGACGTTGGTATGTTGTAGAAGTTGGTTAAACTGTAGAAGTTGGTAAATTGTAGAAGCTGGTATGTTAGAGAAGTTGATTAATTTATAGAAGTTATTTAAATTGTAGAAGTTGGTAAGTTGTAAAAATTGGCGAGTTGTAGTTGTCAAGTTGTCGAATTTAGTAAGGTGTAGAAGTCGTTAAGTTGTTGAAGTCGGAAAGTTGTTGAAGTTGGTAAGTTGTTGAAGCTGGTAATTTGTAGAAGCTGGTAAGTTGTAGAAGCTGGTTAAGATGTAGAAGACAGTTTAGCAGTTTCTGAAGTGGAGAGTTGATATCATTGCCGCTAAACCTGAAAATTATTCAAAAGATGGCACGCGTCTGACGTCTTCATCCATCTATTCCTAAGATCATCTACATCATAATTTATTGCCTGGAATATTTCGCCGTTATCACCTCAGGGGCATTTCTGCAGAATTAAATCAACATATAATGAAGCGCACACAAATAAATTCTCATCGCTGAAATAAATAAATCATTGTCAAGTTGGGCTGTACATCTCTCCACCGGAAATTCAACCAGGTGGTTACCATGGTAATCTCACATTTATTACATGCTCTTTTTGTTTACATAAAACATTAGACATACAGCGTAACAGCGTAATATGCCAGGCAACAAATTGTGAAATATATTGTTTGCCACACCTGCAAAACATTGTTTTGAATATCTACTGTTTAATGTCTTGCTGTTTACTGTTTTATTTTACAGAGGAGACCAGATTGTGAGGATGCCAATGGCGATATAACTGTTGACTTGGTCGTATCGCGGACAGACGGACGTGGAGCTAGTTGATGACAATCATTGGAAAGATGAAACGCTTCTGCCGTCTTCTTCCCCTCTACTTTTTTTTTGTTTACTTCCTCATCAGTATTTTTTCTTTTTTATTTTCAATCATCACTACCACCCCCATCATCATCATCATCATCATCATCGTCGTTGTCGTCCCTTTTGTCATCTTCTGTGTCTTTTAAATTTTGTTTCCAGAGGTTGCCCAGACACTTTCTCATATTTCTTTACCCTCTTGGACTAATTCCACGTTATGTAAAACATTTAATTCATACATTTGTTTTTAAATGCATGTGAATGTCGTTCCATATCTTTTGTCGTTTTACAACTTTCACTGCAATATGTTAAAACTAAAATAACACAGAGAGAGAGCACCAATAAGTCGCAAATTAAAAGTATTCTAACAGGGTAATTCAAGACTTTAATCTCAGCCAACAGTCACTTCCCGTTTTCAATCTAAGCCAACAGTGACTTCAAGTTTTCAATCTAAGCCAACAATGACTTCAAGTTTTCAATCTAAGCCAACAGTGACTTCAAGTTTTCAATCTAAGCCAACAATGACTTCAAGTTTTCAATCTAAGCCAACAGTGACTTCAAGTTTTCAATCTAAGCCAACAGTGACTTCAAGTTTTCAATCTAAGCCAACAATGACTTCAAGTTTTCAATCTACGCCAACAGTGACTTCAAGTTTTCAATCTAAGCCAACAGTGACTTCAAGTTTTAAGGCTAAGCCAACAATGACTTCATGTTTTCAGCCTAAGCCAACAATGGACTTCATGTTTTCAAGCCTTAGCCAACAATGACTTCATGTTTTCAGCCTAAGCCAACAATGACTTCATGTTTTCAGCCTAAGCCAACAATGACTTCATGTTTTCAGCCTAAGCCAACAATGACTTCATGTTTTCAGCCTAAGCCAAGAATGACTTCATGTTTTCAGCCTATGCCAACAATGACTTCATGTTTTCAGCGTAAGCCAACAATGACTTCATGTTTTCAACCTAAGCCAACACTGACTTCATGTTTTCAGCCTAAGCCAACAATGACTTCATGTTTTCAGCTTAAGCCAACAATGACTTCATGTTTTCAGCCTAAGCCAACAATGACTTCATGTTTTCAGCCTAAGCCTACAATGACTTCATGTTTTCAGCCTAAGCCAAGAATGACTTCATGTTTTCAGCCTAAGCCAACAATGACTTCATGTTTTCAGCGTAAGCCAACAATGACTTCATGTTTTCAACCTAAGCCAACAATGACTTCATGTTTTCAGCCTAAGCCAACAATGACTTCATGTTTTCAGCCTAAGCCTACAATGACTTCATGTTTTCAGCCTAAGCCAAGAATGACTTCATGTTTTCAGCCTAAGCCAACAATGACTTCATGTTTTCAGCGTAAGCCAACAATGACTTCATGTTTTCAACCTAAGCCAACAATGACTTCATGTTTTCAGCTTAAGCCAACAATGACTTCATGTTTTCAGCTTAAGCCAACAATGACTTCATGTTTTCAATCCAAGCCAACAGTGACTTCAAGTCTCTAAACTTGGTACAAAAATTGTCCTGCCAGGTCAATGTAGAGGTTCCACTGCATGAGAGGTTTCTATTTGCAATGTTTATTGTCACTGGTGATTGCCCTAATTAATTTTACTACTACAGTAAGTAAAGTAAAGTAAAGAGCCCTTTTCACGCCTTTCGGCGCATCGGGCACATGGGCAGAGCGTCCCATATTTTTACAGACCATCAGCACTCTGTGGGTAATGTGGTCAGCATTACGCCGTCTGTCTTTACTTTCCCAGGACAACAGTAGAGATCTAATAATGAGAACTCACCGGAAACGAA